CTCGTTGCTCGAGCTGAGATTATCAAATACTCAGCACGATTTTACTTTTTCTGAAATCTTCGGACTTAGCGAGGTACAAATTATCTAGTTATATGAGCAGAGACTACCCGAGTGCAAATGAAAATTCGATGTCTATTTAAATACCTATGTATCATATATACCTATGTATCATTTATTCACATTTCTTAGTTATCGAACACAGGATGATGCTTAATGTTCTTGCAATGCTTTTCACAATTTTCTTGCGTAGTAAACCGATTGTTAGCCCCAAGACAACCCATATCGGTCAATTGTACGCATTTCGCACTCAGCCAATCGTAGGCCCATCTTATTCGCTTTATTCCACAGTCCCGGCCAATATGTCTATTTATGGCAAGCTTGCGTCCGCATAAACCTGTTTGATATATAACGTAGCGTTAACTAAACTGAAATCGATAGAAATTATTGAGCTCTGTAGAATTATGCCACGTGGAGCTACAACGCATAAAGGTAACGCAGTGAGCAGTACAAGTGCAAAAACCAACCTCATTTTGGTTGCTATGAACTGAAAACATTCATATTCACATATTATGAATCACAAACTCTGAATGATCTTCCTAATATCCGTGAAATATGTGTGTCTAATGGGAAATAGCAAAGTAAATTTAGATCAATTTGATTCAATGAGCCAGAAATTTGTATATATCGCAGATTTAGTTGAATTATTTTAAATTTCACTATGAGATTAATTTTAATTAGGATTAGCTTTTCACACATGCAAATTAATTGTAAGCAAGTAGAAGAATTTTTTATTATAATATCTCTTAAACATTTTCAAATGAACAGAAAAAGTTCAATGTTAGAAAGGATAAAATTGAATTTCGACAACTGCAACAAATATATTGAAATACAGCGGGGGAGCAGCGTGATTATTATGAATAGAAATAATGCGATTTCATAGAGCTCTTCATATAATAAATATCATAGAAAACATCGGGGGAGCAGTGAGATTCATTGAAAAAAAAGTAATAATATGGCAAATCCGATTTCGTAATCTTTTTTGTCTCTAGCCTGCACAGCTGGTCCATGACATTCTGTGTAGCATAGTATATTAGTGAAACGGCAAGGCTTGCTCTGCTGGCAAATCGAGCAATTTACTTAAACTCTATAGGTTTCCAAGTAATTAAAGAGAAAATGTCCCCATACAGCTCTCAGTGCTGCATTGTTCGTGTAGTTGTGTACAACAATGTCAAATATAATGCAGTCCTATAGTCTTGGCGATTTGTATTG